GTAAAGAAAAGGGATACACTTGATAAATAGGTAGCGGGTAATTTTTTTTAAAAAGAAGAATGATCCCATTCGTTAATCATTAGTTACAGGGTACGAAAACGTCATTCCCCTCTGTAACAGGATTCTGTCATAACAGTGATGTCACATCAGTCCCGGCGATAGTGTTTTTGCCGAGGCATGTGGTTTGCTGACAGGAATAAGAAATAATCCGTTGAAGCTCTTTTCACTGGGAGTCTGCTATCGGTGGATACGAGGTTGACTGTAAAGGGATTCATAAGTATACAAAGCTATGTTAATCATACACTTGTGCTAATTCTGTCGTTCCTTTCGAAAGGTTTGCTTTGCTTATAAGCTTTGAAATTTTCATTGAGGTGAACTTTTTAATGCTATTATGTTTATGAACGAAATTAACAATGACCAATGTAATGCTGTGGTCTCGCCAGGACAATAATTTTCTACTCTACTGCAGCAAGTATATAAGTTAGCAAAACGTTAATTTACAGCGTCCTTTTCATTGTTAGCTTGTACGATAAGGTAAGCTATATTATTTTGACCAAACATTTTTCGAAACGTGAAGTGTGCCCTCATGAGATCTGTGACACAGAATACTCTTACATGCAACATCATCTCTAAACATCACATCACCTCTCTCTCTCTCTCTCTCTCTCTCTCTCTCTCTCTCTCTCTCTCTCTCTCATACGTGTTCGTTTTCTCAGCTTTTTAAAAATCCCATACCCCCTAACGAAAAAACAAACAATCAATATTTGTGATGTAGCGATCAGTCTCTTCACTGTCCCACTCGGGAGACTTGAGTTCGGTTCCTGGGCATTGAGACTTTCTTTTGAGTAGCTGGGTCTTTCAGCTGGAATGTGATCCCTCTAAGCCCGGGTTTGCTCTGACAGTGACAGGCAGGGTCGAAAGCCAGCTTCCAAAAGGATGTAAATTGTGTCAATAATCAATAGAAGTGTAAAAACACCAGCATTACCACCCCACCCCCTCACAAAAAACGACCAACAAACAAATGAAAACAAAAAAACCTCCACCACTCACACATCAAGGTAAATGCACGGGCAAACCCGGGGGAAAAAACCAAACTGAAATGTATATTAAATTGAACACAACTGCTTGGAGAGTACTGAATGAACATACAAAAAAAACAAGACTGCACTAAAATAAAGATAAGTGAGAAACACAATAAAGCTTCGCCAAACACAAAAGCAAATTTGGTGGTTCCGTTGGTGAAAACACTCCAGCAGGCTTTTGTAATCGAAAGAAAATAGTAGCGATGATCTTTAAAAAAAACCGTTGAAGATTCCCTACCGCGCGGTAATCTCTGACTGCATATTGACGTCATGGTCATTATTTTTAGTACCGGGGATTCATTTTGTTCAAAACAAACTAAGATTTATAAAATGGGGCGTCATTTGTCCTGCTTCATAACTAAACTGCCAGAAACACATCACTCAAGATTATTTTACGGTTTGGAAGAGGAGAAGGTTGCGGTTACAACGATACTTCTCTTCTTCTTCTTCTCGATCGCATCACACTTTAAGTCCGGTATCTGTCATAAATTGGGCCGTCCTGCTCAGTTCATCTGGCGGCCCGT